CTATAAAGACGCATTCAACAGCCCTATTCGCTCAAAGGTGTTTAAAGGCATGTCCGCGTTCGGCGTAGCTGCAAAATTAATACGGCTATGCAGGCTAACTTAAACTGGCCTTTCGGAGTCTTTTAATACCGAATGAGGATTCAGACAAGGTGACAGTTTGTCGTGTGACCATTTTAACATCCTGCTGGAGAAGGTCATACGAGAGGTGAACAGAAATGACACTCTGTACACTAAACAACACATGTTACTCGCCTACGCCGCTGACATCGACATCGAACATTGCGAGCGGTAACAGCTGCATTTGAACACATTAAGAACGAGTCTGCCAAAGTGTGTCTGGCAGTAAATGGCGAGAAGACCAAGGTGATGGTATCAACGCGCAAGGCGTCAAGTAGACTCGGACTAACTGTGGAACTTGAGAACTATAGCTTCGAGGTAGTCAACGATTTTATGTATCTCGGCACTGCCATAAATAAAACTAATGACATCAGTTTTGAAATGTTGACCAACAGAAGCTATGGTCTAGGTAAGCAATTCAGAAACAAGACCACCTCACACTCTATAAGACGCATATAATACTCGTTATATTGTATGGATCTGAAGCATGGGTATCTGTGCAAGCAGATGAGGCAGCTCTTGGAGTGTTCGAGAGAAAAATTCTCCGGAAGATTTATGGGCCGATATGCGTTGACGGTGAATATCTCCTGGGACCCACCAATAAATTTAGATATTTTGAATGACAACCTCATGGTGGAGGTTATAAAATGCTTTGCCGGGCCGAACTTAACAAAACAGTGTTTCTATTAATAGTATAATTAGCTCCCATATATCTTCTTCTTTATATATGAAAGAGTTGCGTTATAAGTGACTGACTGATCATCAACGCCCAGACGAAAGGGCTAAAGCTAGAAACTTAAAATTTGGCATGTAGGTGAGGTATGCTGCGTAGGCGTGTGATAAGGCGGGGTATTTGGATATTCGTACTAAAAGGTACTAAAAAGTACTAAATACTGTATTACGCGGGAATGGTTAGGTGTAGAACTCTGAAATTTGGTATGCAGCTTTGCCTAGAATAAGCGAAGTGGTATGTGTGAAAAAATTTGGAATTTAGTACTAGGAGATACTAAAAAGTACTAAACATTATATTTGAATAGAATCGGTAGAGATACTTATCTGAAACATGGTATGAAGCTTAGCCTATAAAAAATAGAATGATGTGCAACATTTTTTAGTACTAAAATTGTACTAAAAAGTACTAAAAACTCTATTACGCAAGAAGTGCTCGAAATATATCTCTGAAATTGTGTATGCAGCTTTGTCAATAATAAGCGAATCGGTACGTGTGAACAATTTTGGCATTTAGTACTAAGTGGTGCTAAAAAGTACTAAATATTATATTTGAATGGAACCGGTTGAGGCACATATCTGAAACTTGGTACATAGCTTAAGCTATTACATATATAATTTTGTGCAAGGATTTTTTTTTTTTTGGAAATTAGTTTTAAAGTTGTACTAAAAAGTACTAAAAATTGAATTACGTCGTAACGGTTGGAAGTAGAACTCTGAAATTTTGTATGTAGCTTTGTCAATGATATGTGTGAAAAAATTTTCGAAATTAGTACTGAGGACACCAAAAAGTACTAAAAAGAGTACTAAATATTATATTACAATGGAACAGATAGGGATAGATACTTGAAACTTGGTATGCAACTTAAGGTATTGACAATACAATTTTTTTTTTTGGAAATTAGTTTTAAAGTTGTACTAAAAAGTACTAAAAACTGAATTACGTCGTAACGGTTGGAAGTAGAACTCTGAAATTTTGTATGTAGCTTTGTCAATGATATGTGTGAAAAAATTTTCGAAATTAGTACTATGGACCCCAAAAAGTACTAAATATTATATTACAATGGAACAGATAGGGATAGATACTTGAAACTTGGTATGCAACTTAAGGTATTGACAATACAACGAAAGCAAAAACATATTTTTGGAAATTAGTACCAAAATGTTCTAAAAAGCTATAAATATTATATTACAATTCAACACCTAGGGACAGACATCTGAATTTTTCATTGAAGCTTTAACTATTACAAATAGAATGCTAAGATTAATTTTTATTTAGAATGAAACCGCTAAAATAATTTTGAAATTAGTGCTAAAATGATACTAAATATTAAATTATAATGGAAACGATATAGATTGAAATCTGGAGCTTAACTATTTCGAATATAATAATACGCATTGACATTTTTGGAAATTAATACCAAATATTGTACATGGGTATTGAGCGATTGATGTGGTAGAGTTTGGAATTTGTTTAGGTGGCTTCCAAAATAAAAATATAATTTTTCCAGTGCCTTTAACGAGTTAATAAGACAGAATAGAATTCTGAAATTTAGTATAAATATTTTTATACGAAAAACAATACTTTTCGTATTTTGTTTTGTACTAAAAAGTACTAAAGTACTATTTTCGAAAAATTGTACTAACAAGTAAAAAAGTGTCACTCTATGTTGCCCACAGATATATACCCTCAGCATGTGGTTTGAGGAGATCTTCGGAGTTACTCACATATTTTTTTAATCGCTTTATATAAGGTATATTTTTTATGAAAGAGGTTCGGATATAAAGTTGTTCAAAAAAATATTCAATTCGCTCCAAATAAAATTTACAAGTTTATATAATATTGACCAAATCGAACATTCCATTCGATTAATCTTGGATTTATAAATATTGAACATTTTGACCATTTGTGGGGGAGTTACCAGAAGGAGTGGACCGACAATTCCCAACTTCGAACATAAACAAAGTTTGCAAGATATATAACGATGAGCAATGTTTGGATGAAATCGGTAACTCTCTTCGAGTATTATCGTGCACACCAGTCGGCCAGAAGTAACATTTTTAACAGTACTGATATTTATTTGCCTTCAACCCCACTGGAAATATATTATACTGCCGCGAATTCCGATGTAATGAATAATGGGCGGCATTTTCATATAGAGAATACACTGAAAATACTTTCCAATAAGGATTTTGTACCACGCAACGCCTAGAAATAATAAATTTCGGCAACTTTTAATGGAAACTATAAAGGCAGAACTCCGATAAAAACAATATGTCAATGTAATTATAAAAAATGATGTACTGTGCAAAACATTAGTTCGTACTATAATGATACACACGTACTCAAACGTGCAACATGTTTGCCATTACTATTAAACTACCGACAGAAAAAAGTTTAAAAACCCTATTATGGTACTATTTGCCTGCGTTCATCGGGAGGATCGAAAATATAGTACGCTTTCAGAAAATATAAAAATCAATAAGTTATACTCGATTTTGTATTCTTAAACCTATGTTCGAAAGAAATGCCGACTAAGCAGACTCATGGAAGATGTAGGGCCAATCATTATTAGTTTATAGTATATACTTATAAATTCATAAATCCCTATTGAGTTATATTGTGTGGCTAAATTAAAGTTTATTTATTTTAACTGTAACATTTATTGTGGTTTTGGAAAGATCCGCTAACGAATTAGCGGGCATATGCTATATATATATATATATTTAGCGGGAAAGAAGATATTGAGATGCGGAAATCATAGGTTCGACATGGAGCTATGTCAGACCTCAATTACGCATATCACCTCATATAATGATGGCTCCAAATGTTCGGTAATTCCATATTTGTTCCGCTTTAGGTATAGCCGTCAGGGACGTACGCACACAATTTTTTTCTACAAAGACATTTTTCATATTAAAACTGCAGCTTCAACCCACTCTCCGAAATAAAATCCTGTGTGCGTTGTTGATGGCCTCATATAAGTTTTGCCCTCTAAATTGCAGTATTTTGGGGATTTTATACATCCCAACATGCGTCGTCAAAGCAGGTCCACATTTCGGGGTTTTGCGATTTTAGGAAAAATTTCCATTAAAAATTGATGAACATTGCATATGGTGTATATTATGGTTTACAACAATGGTAGAATCCACTTTTTCATTTCAAGTATCTATCGGTATACCTATGGTGGAGGGTATCTAAAATTCGACCCGGCCAATTTTAACGCTTTTTTTTTTTGTTCTAGTTCAAAAATTGCTGCCGAAATTCCTTTATAAATTAAATATTTACCTGAGAATAATCAATTGTCGAATATAGAATAAACATTAAAAATACCAAATTTCGAATATTTTTCAGTTTAATCATTTTGCGGTTAAATAAAAACGAGTGACCGATTAGTAAAATAGATAATTGATTACTGAAATGTACAAAGGTAAACAATACATAGTATGTATTTAATGCGATTCGGTTATTAAATTGAAATGGTTAATTAATAGAAAACGTATTTAAAATCAATTATTTATTTTAAAACGCTCGATTTGTTCCATTGATTTTTAGGCGTGTCATACGATGTACAATACTGAGGTCATAATCGTGATTTCTCGAATTGTGGAATGTTTTTGTACACTCCACTATAGTATGGAGAGTATATTAATTTTATTTTTCCGTTTGTAACTCATCGAAATAATCATTTTCGACATCATAAAGTATATATATATATATATATATATATGATCAGCATAAATTCTGTGACGATTTCGCCATGTCCGTCTGTCTGTTGTTATCACTCTAGCCTCGAAAATTTCGTCTTTTGTCTGCAGGCAGGCCGAGTTCTTGAGAGAGTTTTTCAATTGAATTCTCTGTAATTTGGTACATTGGGTTCTTATTAGTTATCAAATTTCCCCACTAAAAAATATATATATAGGTTCATTTTTTCGGGTAGCCCCACATATAAGGTTACCCTCCAATTTTCGGCATTTTAGGGTTCTTGGGCGCGTTTTTCAATCAAATTCTCTATAATTTGGTATTTTGTAGTCGTGTACCAATTGTCCCTACCAAAAATTGTCGCAGTTTAGAATACATCCAAAGTTTTTAATATTTTATTTTGATTTATTTTTTTCGAAATTTGAAAAATGTTGAATCTGTGCATATTTATTTACGATATGGTTCCATAAACTTTTACAGAAAATTGTGTCATATTATTTAGTAGCAATGTTGTGAAGCAGGCATAATCTCCACCAGGTATCGGCAGCTGATGCATAGATTTTTCCACATATACATTTTCCAGACGTGGCATATGGAAATTTGTCTGAAAACAAAAATAAAGAGATAAATAAATAATTTCTTAAAAGATAATATGGAAAGCAAGTGAAGAACTCCGTTTAATTTAACTGGGCAGAAGTTTTTCTACGTGGTGTGCACACTTCGGCATGGAATTTTATATGGAGACTATAGTATTGCTTTATATGGTGGTAAGTTATTCATGCTCTGGAAAAATAACAGACATTCAGGTTGGAAAACTAGAGATGGAACTTCAACATACCGAAAACCAGTAAGGAAAGTTCAAAACGGGCCGACAATATGATACCATTCTCCATTTGGGAGTTTGGTGCACCATTTACATAAAATCGGACAAAGTTATATCTATATCTTTACCCAAACTTTGCTTACATAAGAACGATATAGCCAGCTACCAATCAAAAATTCAAAGAAATCTAAATAAATCCCTAGGCAGGAAAATTTATCTTACATTGGAAGATTTTGGGGATACTATAAAAGCTTCAATAAAACCAAAAACAAACAAGATTGACACATATATCCCGAAACAATCTTGGTATAATTACAAATGCCACAGTGCGCGGATAAAAATGTTTTCGCTGCTAAAAACACACCAAACAAATAATACAGCTGAGTCTAGAAGAGAGTACTTAGATGCCTTAAAAAATATACAAAAGTATTTGTAAAACTAATAAACAGGAACATAGTATGAAACTATTAGGTAGAAAGAAACCAAATTCTAATCGAATACCAAGCAGGGTTCAGAAATAGTTATTCCACGGCAGACAATGTGTACAATTTAGCATCAATTGTAAGCCTAAAGCTTCATGAAGGTAAAAAAGTATTCGCTTTCTTTGTGGACTTTAAAGCCGCTTTCGACAATGTTAAATTCGACAATACAAATTTCTTAAACTCAGAAAATATATACAACATCACTCAATATGCAGTGTGGACAGGAGACGAACTGCCAGATTATTTCGAAACTAAATCGGTCTACATTAACGACATACATGAATACATGAATATCTACAAGGCGGAATAACCATTGACAATACGAATATACGATTGCTGTTATATGCAGATGACATAGTAATACTGTCGGAAGATATATCGACTCTGCAGTCCATGATATTCAATCTTGAAGAATACTGTCGTATTTGGAATCTTATTGTTAACATGTCAAAATCTGAAATTCTGGTATTCCGAAATGGCGGTCGACTTAGTAGAAATGCGAAATGGTCGTACTGTGGAAGCCAGATACAAATTACAAATGAATACAAATATCTAGGCGTTACCTTCACACCAAAACTTTCATTCTCAAAACACATTGAAAACAGAACAAGACTTACAGTATCTACATCGTATAATGTACAGATACCACGATCGCCGACTACCAAAAAAGTTAAACAATTTGTTGCTTCAAAATGAAGTACTCTGGGTACCAAACATAAAGAATTTAGCACAACGATTGAATGTTCAATGGCCATATACTGCAAATGAGTTTGAATGGAAACTTTTTACTTCAAATATTATTAGCTCCGAAAAGCTGCATATATTTCAGGAGAATTTAAGGTTGAAAGATGAAAGACAAACCAGAATATACAACTTTTTAGATTTTTCTAGGGGAGAATTGTATTTTACTGATTCATTTACTAGCGACCAAATTTCATGGATTCTGAAAGCAAGGTGTGGAATGATAAATTTGAATGCGACAAGACTTGACATTGACAGCAGGGGAAGAAAATGCACCTTATGTAATACAAATTAAGATGAAACCTTGTTCCATTTTCTGGGAGCATGTCCAGTTCTGAGAGAATTCAGATTAAGAATTTTCCATGCTGCGATACTGTCTGAGGAAGATATGGTCAACATTTTGGATGGTCGTGAGGCAAATCATTGGAATAAGCTCGTGTCTTATTTGAAAACATCCTTAAACTATAGAAGATTACTAATAAGCGAGTGTAATTCGTTATAAAATCAAAACTCAACGAAAGGACAGACGGTTAATAAATAACCATTGTCGATCAAACACTATTTTTTCTTGTTTTACAATATATGTATAAATAATCAATGATTCAGACTGTATTAAATGAAATATTGTAAATAAAGAATCATTATTATTATATCTATATCTAATCCGATTTCTAAACTTCGCAGACATCAATCCGGACTAAATTCAGTACACAGTGCAAAGTTTTGTCTCAATCGGAAAAACCTTGCGAGTTTTGTGCTACATTTACCTAAAATCGGACAAAACTATATATGGGAGCTATATCTCAATCCGAACCGATTTTAACAAAACTTCACAGACATCAAACTGGACCTCAATCAGTACACTGTGCAAAATTTTGTCTCAATGGGATAAATAATGGGTGTTTACTGCACCATTTAGGTAAAATCGGATGAAAATATGTATCGGAGCTATATTTAAATCTGAACCGATATTCTCCAATTTCAATAGGATCCAAATAAATGAGCTGTGATAAATTTCATCCACTTAAGACCATAAATGCGACCTGTATTTTGCTCACATGAGCGGTCGGAGGGACTGACGGACAGTCAGACGGACATGCATAATTCGACTCAGAAAGTGATTCTATGCTTATTCTCAAAAGGAACCATTTGTTTATCTCGTTTCCATTTGCCTGTTACAAACACATAATACCCTGTACCACGGTATGGTGAAGCTTATAAATAGAAAAACAAAATTTACTTACTTCAAATGGACACAGACCACCAATATTACTGTTATCTTGAAACCATTTCCAAACTATTTTAGTGACTGGATTTAGATGTTTCACAAATTCACAGTTCACTACGAAATTGTACAGGAATGGCTTGTAACCATTAGCTCTCTTGTAAAATGCTACAGATCCCTATAAAATTAAATTTAAAAATGGAAAATTTGGTTATATTATTACGATTGAAGTTGCATTACCCATTCTATGTACTTACATTAATATCCGTTATTGGTAAATCGCGAAATGTTACATTCAATGAAATAAATTGAAGATTTCGGGATACGGCTTTCACCTTGCAAGTTTCAAAGATTACAGCCGCCTTGTCCGAAGTTTCACATTCCACTTTGGTGAATTTCAAACGAAATTGCTGGCGTAGTAAATAAAAAGAAATCATTATATAATGTCTTGATATGTCGTAATTTGCACAGAATAATAATGAATATTAAATTGGTAAAAAATTTCGATAAGTACTGCCGTACCGAATTTTTATACCATCTACCATGAGGTGATATAAAATGTATTAAATTTGGGGCTAATTAAAAACATATAACTACGTTAGACGATTTCAAAATTGACATAGGGCCTTCCAAATGTGTAAAAAGGTGTTGTTTATGTTGTTTACCCACCAAACATTATATGAAATTGGCAAATTTTTCAAGTGCACCAATTGGTTCCATCTTTTGATTCGATCTAGGTTTGGTAAATATTTCAATATTTTGGATCATTTATTCTCAGTTGATGTCATGTTTTGTTCAAAATTGTGACCCCTTTCACGATGCATTATATTTTTCATCTTATAGAATGCTCCATTACTTAGCTGGCTTGTTACAGAACGGTTGTTCCATAAGCCGAGCTTAAACAAGATTTCCAAGCGCGTCGGTCTTGTGCGCAAATCCACCAATTAGGAAGACCACGTTCCAAGATGTTGTTTTTTTTACTTGGTCTTTCCATCTAATTCATGGCTTTCCCATGTCCTAGCCACCGTAATCGCTGCAGCTCAATACGACTGACTACGTCGATGTCCGCGTATAAATTGTAGAGCTCGTGGTTCATTCGACGCCGATATTCACCGTCGACGCAGATCGGCCCGTAGATCTTTCGGAGAATTTTTCTTTCAAACACCCCAAGAGCTGCCCCATCTGCTTGCGCAAGTACCCATGCTTCTGCTCCATATAATAGCACGGGTAGTATAAGCATCTTGTAAAGTGTGAGTTTGGTCTGGCGGGAGGTGGCCTTGCTTTTGAGTTGTTTGCTCAGACCATAGTAGCATCTGTTGGTCATTACTATCCTTCTCCGAATTTCAAAACTGATGTCATTCGTTTTGTTTATGGCGGTACTAAGGTATATAAAGTCTTTAACTACCTCGAAGGTGTAGTTTTCAAGTTCCACAGTTGGTCCGAGTCTACTGTACGTCTTGCGCGTTGATACCATCAGCTTGGTCTTCTCGCCGTTTACTACCAGACCCACTTTCGCAGACTCCTTTTCAATTTGTTCAAAGGTGGCTGTTACCGCTCGCAATGTTCGACCCATTATATCGATATCATCGGCGTAGGCGAGTAACATATGTTGTTTGGTGTACAGAGTGCCATTTCTGTCCACCTTTGCGTCTCGTATGATCTTTTCCAGTAGGATGTTAAAAAGATCACACGACAAACTGTCGCCTTGTCTGAATCCTCGTTCGGTATTGAAGGGCTCCGATAGGTCCTTTCCTACTTTAACTGCTGATCTTGTGCCAGTTAAAGTTATCCTGCATAGCCGTATTAATTTTGCAGAAATGCCGAACGTAGACATGGCTTTAAACACTTCTGAACGGATAGGGCTGTCGAATGCGGCTTTATAGTCGACAAATAGGTGGTATGTGTCGATGTGTTTTTCGTGGGTCTTTTCCAGGATTTGGCGCAGGGTGAAAATCTGGTCAATGGTGGATTTGCCAGGTCTGAAGCCGCATTGGTATGGCCCGATGATGTCATTGACCATTGGATTCAATCGTTCACACAGCACACTGGATAGCACTTTATATGCGATGGGAAGGAGACTTATTCCTCTATAGTTGGCACATATCGTCTTGTCTCCTTTTTTGTGCACGGGACACAGGATGCTGAGGTTCCAATCATTGGGCATGCATTCATCTAGCCAAATTGTACTAATCAGCTGGTGCATGCTCCTGACCAGCATCTGGCCACCAGTCTTGAATAGTTCGGCTGGTAACCCATCGGCTCCTGTTGCTTTGTTGTTCTTGAGCCGATTATTTGCTTTTATGACCTCATCATGGCTAGGTGGTATACACTCTATACCACCATCTCTTATTGGTTCTGGGGTATCTTCTTCTTCGACGCCACTATTTGATACCAGAAGCTGTTCAAAATGCTCCTTCCAGATCCTCAACACGCTTTCTGTATCTGTCACCAGGTTTCCTTCTTCATTTCTACAGGAAGATGTGCCTGCACCAAAGCCTTCGGTTTGGTGTTTTACTCGTTGGTAAAATTTCCGGACTTCGTTCAGACTCCTGTACATCTCGATTTGCTCACGCTCACTTTTTTCTTGTTCTTTCTTCTTTTTTCTGAAAACACGTTTCTCCTCTCTCCTTTTCTCCCGATAATTCTCCATCACGTTACCTGTTGCTACTGTCTGCAGGGTTGCCCTATACGCTGCGTTTTCACCTCAGTAGCAATACGACACTCCTGATCGTACCATGGGTTTCTTGGTGGTGGTTTTTGGTACCAAAGTGTTGCTTTTGCTGCAGTTTGTAGGGAGTGGGCAATTTTTTGCCATTGTGCTTCTACACTATTATGGGGATAAGAAGTGCTTTCGTCAAGCAGATGGGTAAGTTTAGCGGAGTAGGCCTCGGCTACCTTTTTCGCTTTTCGACGTCGAGTTTCCGTGTTGTGTTAGATCGCACCTTTGCTGCTACGTTAAGACGGGTGCGTACCTTGGCTGCCACAAGGTAATGGTCCGAATCGATATTCACTCCTCGAATCGATCGGACGTCTAAAACACTGGATGAATGTCTTCCGTCTATCACAACATGATCAATTTGATTTCTCGTTGCTTGATCAGGAGAGATCCAGGTGGCCTTATGTATATCGAGATGCTTGAATCTGGTGCTGCTAACTACCATGTTTTTTGCTGCCGCAAAGTCATTCAACCTCATGCCGTTATCGGATGTTTCTTCGTGGAGGCTGAATTTTCCGACGGTGGGGCCAAAGATATTTTCCCTTCCGATTTTTGCATTAAAATCTCCTAGCAGAATTTTAATATCATGGCCAGGGCAACGATCATATGCTGTTTCTAGGCGCTCGTAAAATATGTCTTTGGTCTGTTCATCATTATCTTCGGTCGGAGCATGGGCGCAAATGAGACTGATGTAGAAGAACTTCGCTTTAATACGGATTATAGCAATTCGCTCATCTACTGGAGTGAATGTGGAGACGAGGTGTTTTATTCTCCTGTTGACCATAAATCCGCATCCAAATGTATGTCTCGTTTCATGGCAGCTATAATACAGGGCGTAATCGTCTGATTTACTATCGCCTGTCCCTTTCCATCACATTTCCTGTAAGGCAATAATGTCGGCTTTGCACTTCTTGAGTACATCCGCCAAAGCGAACACTGCGCCTGTTCTGTACAACGTGCGCACATTCCAAGTGCAGATTCGCAGATCGTGGTCCTTTATACGTTTGCGGGGGTCGTCAACATCAGGGGGGTTTGGTTTTCTTTTTCTTTGCTTTTTCATAGTAGATGGGTTTTTCCGAGTGTGGGCAACCATTTTTTATAGTTCTTATCGGTGAACTCGTGGCACATATTCGCTTACTATTTCAACCGGTGATGAGAATAGCTCCCCAGGTGGCACCGCGGGGAGGTCAGTGTCCACAATTGAGATGAAAGAGGGACCAAGATAAGCCTGGACTTCGCCATGTTAAAGCCAATCAGGGCCGTTGCTTGGTATCTATCATCCCCTACGCCACCCGAAATGGTCCATTAGAATCATATAAAACTTGATCTAGGGCTGGTGAAATTATTACGATATGCTAAGTTGGGATTAAATCGGACACTCAATTAAATTGATATTGAATTCACAATTTCTCAAAATTGTGACACATTTTGGTTGGATATACCAGAATTGATTGACCACATCTTCAAAATTGATCTAGGTCTGGTAAAACAATGAGTCATGTCATGGGATTTTCCAGAAGGAGTCTTTTAATATTATCTACTTTTAAACCTGATTTAAGCTTGGAAGGAATATTCGAATGTGCAAAGTTGGGATGAAATTGGTTACTCCCTTGGAAAGTTATCGAAGGGACAAAAAGGTATGGACGGATAATTTTAAATGGATTCTAGATTGTGAGAAATGGACTTGATTTCTAAACGAAACATACCTCGGTGGAGAATTTAATATTTGGTACGCAAATATACGGAAACAAAATATAAAAAATTGCAATATACAACAAATTAAAATAATTACTACCTAATAATTATTATTATATATTGGTAATCAATTAAAATATTTGAAACGCAAATAATTAGGTCTGTAATTTATTTCCATTAAATCAGAACTAAATGATTTATACAAAAAAATCATGCATATATTTAAAAACTTCTACTGGTAAAAAAAATATTCCAAAACAAACTAAATAAGTTCAAACCAGTGAGCGGAGCAGTATATTCGGACGGGGCCGACCCCATGGATCCATACATTACAGGTCAACAGCTTCTCTTTCTTACCCTGGTATATTTTCTAAATCATGTTCGGATTTGATATTTACGCCATACGATTGTTATTTGTTTATTCTGCACACAAAAGTCCTGGTTCAGTTGACCTTCTAAATATAGACTGACCATTTATAAAACAGTCATTCTAAATAGTTGGCCAGATCCCATATTCGTGTAAAAATTGTGATGTTCGGATAACAACAGAGGCCTCTAGAGCAACTGGGAAACCAAACAATAATAAAATTTAGGTCAATTCCATTCCCTAAATATCATTCTAAAATCACCGAAATTTGTAGGTGTCGTCCCTGACTAAACCCTGAACTTCCTTTAAAATTTCATAGCGATCCGCGCCGGGTAATAATTGTGGCCTCTACAGATGATGATGTGACGTAGGGGATGATAGATTCCAAGCAACGGCCCTGGTTGGCTTTAACATCGCGAAGTCCAGGCTTATCTTGGTCCCGCATTCATCCCAATTGTGGACACTGACCTGCCCGCGGTGTCACTTGGGGTAGCTATTTTCATCACCGGTTGAAATAGTGAGCTGATATGTGCCACGAGTTCACCCATATGAACTATAAAAAATGAGTTGAGGCGTCGGGTTAGTTGCCCACACTCGGAAAACCCCATCTACTATGAAAAAGCAAAGAAAAAGAAAACCAAACCCCCTAATGTTGACGACCCCCGCAAACGTATAAATGACCACGATCTGCGAATCTGCACTTGGGTGTGTGTGTCCGTTGAATGGGCGGGTGGGAAGATGTTGCTGGCTAGCATCTACTGCCAATTCAGCTCACCTCTGGAGCCATATTTAAGGTATATGGATACGGTACTACTCCTCGAGAGTAGTTGTCCGCTAATCCTAGGGCTAGACGCGAACGCAACCTCCTCACTGTGGTTCTCCAAGATGACCAGGTCAACATCTGGTCATCGGAATCTCATCCGAGGAGAAGCGCTTAGTGAATGGGTGTTAGCGAGGGGCGTCGAGATATTAAATGAGCCCTCGGATCTGTATACCTTTGATGGTCCCTCCGGGGTGAGTGACATAGACGTGACGGCTGCAAATGGGGCAGCAATGACAGCTTACCAGTTTAGTTGGAGTGTTTGCGAAGACTGGGGTGTGAGTGACCATAACCTCATTGAGATTTTGGCCACTCCTAGGGGACGTACGCAGGGAACTGAGCGTTTCAGGGGTTGGAAGGAACGAGATGTGAACTGGGACCATTATGCGAACTGTGTCAGGGAGTTGGCTTTGCCACTAGTGGACTTTAGGGCACGGACCATAGATGACCAGGTCAGCTTGTTGAACGAGTGGATGAGCAGCGTCAATGACGTACTCCTCGGTAGACGCCGTCAGGCTAAACCGAGTAAGGTCAAATGGTGGACCCGCGAGCTAACTACTATGCGGCGGCATGTCAGGCGTCTTAGGCGGCGCTTCCAAAGAGCCAGGCGTGTCAATGCGGAAGATTTAGCGCAGCGTAAATCCGAGTTCCTTGCTGCTCTTAGTACGTACAAAGACGAGCTGTCTAGGAGTAAAGAAGACAATTGGAGGAGATTCGTACGGGACAATGGAGATGATCCATGGGGTATAGTATACCGTGTGTGCCGGCATGGTGGGTCTAGGAGACAGGTCGACCTACAGGGGTTGCGTAGCAGCTCTGCGACAACCACCTCGGGGTGGGGGGAGAGCGTAGGGCTTTTGTTGGGAACATTCTTTCCGGATTCGGAGACTCCATCATTTCCTCCGGTTGTTGAAGAAATGAGGGAGCCTCCGGGTTTGGATCGTATAGAAGTTGTGGACAGTATCTGCCGGGTTAGAAGTAGAAAATCGCCAGGTATGGATGGTATGACTGGAAGGATGGTGAAAGCCATCTGGAAGGTTATGCCGGAATATATCGAGTCCGTTTTCTCCAGCAGCATTCGTCATGGATACTTCCCGCGTACTTGGAAATGTGCCCGAGTTGTGGTCTTGCTCAAGTCGCCTGATCGGGTTAGGAGTGATCCTCGCTCGTATCGGGGCATAAGTCTTCTTCCAGTGCTTGGAAAGGTGCTGGAGAGGATTATGGTGGCACGGCTTAAGGAATGCTACAACGAAGGTACGTCCTTGTATCAGTTCGGTTTTACCGAGGGTAGAGGTACTGTGGACGCGTGGCGGCATGTTGAAGATAGCTTGAGCGGGTCAAATTCCAAATATGTCCTTGGCATATTTGTGGATTTTAAAGGCGCATTTGACTTCCTTTTATGGGATAGCGTGCTCACAAGGTTGTCAGAGGTCGGGTGTAGGGAGATCGCTCTTTGGGCAAGTTATTTCCGGGATAGGAAGGCTTGTGTCGTGGGAGCCAGTGCTTCGGTCTGGAGGGATGTGCAGCGTGGTTGCCCACAGGGTTCCAATTGTGATCCATGTATATGGAACCTTATGATGGATCCTCTGTTGCGGGAGCTAGCTGCCTCCTGCAAGGTCTGTGCATATGCAGATGACTTGCTCATCATGATTGAAGGGGATAGTCGCCTTGAACAGGAATATCGTGGTGAGCAGGCTATGCAGATTGTGCAGGCTTGGAGTGACCGAGTTGGAGTGGAGGTGGCTACAGAGAAGACGGTGCTGATGCTGCTGAAAGGCAGATTGGCACGCAGTCGTCCTCCCTGCATTCAAGCTGGTGAGCGCGGCATAAGGTATTCGGGTACTGATAAATATCTCGGAATAACGGTGTCAGAGCGTTTGAATTTTCTTCCGCACTTCGATCGGTTGAAGGAGAAGCTGACAACGGTCGTTGGGACCATCAGGCGTGTTTTGCGGACTGATTGGGGCTTGAGTAGGCGTTCTGTGCGTATCATATATGGTTGGCTTTTTGTTTCCTGCGTAACTTATGGTGCACCTATATGGTACAGAACTGCCTCTTCTGTCTTTGGGCAGAGGAAGCTCCTTTTGTGTCAGCGGGTCGTCATGTTAGCGTGCTTGCCAGTGTGTCGCACTGTTTCAACAGAGGCGTTGCAGGTGCTGCTTGGCGCCGCGCCGCTTGATCTTGAAGTGAGATGTAGGGCTATCATGTATAAGCTTAAGCGTGGTTTGCAGTTGGATGAGGATGATTGGCTCAGGCCTTCTGATTTGGTGGATGGGGAGAGTAGGCGGTACAGCACTATCCTTCGGGATTGTGTTGTTGATAGGTGGAGGACAAGGTGGACGAACAGTGACAAAGGGAGGGTGACGTACGAATTTATTCGTGACGCAACGTTCGTAGTGGACCGGCCAGACTTTCGCTTCGGCTTAAGTACTGGTTTCTTACTGACGGGGCATGGCTCTCTCAATGCTTTTCTGCATAAGAGAGGCCTTGCCCAGACGGATTTATGTGGGTGTGGGATGACCGAGGACTGGAAGCATATACTGACGGAATGCTGTTACTATGATGACATTAGAGATTTAGCAAATATGGGTATATCGAATGGAGGGGCGGGGTGGGATTTCAGTAGGGCACTTGAAGACGATCGGACCTTTAGTTGTTTAAGTAGTACTTAGTGGAGGTGGTTCTCGTACATAGCCCCCTTGCAGTTGGGTTTGGGCGGTTGCACCGGGTGGTGGTGGGTAGGTGCACCGGGTGGCGGTGCTGGTATTGGTGCGGTTATCGGCGGTTGTTGGCGGCTGTGGGTGGTGTGCGTGCTTCCTGCGGTTGTCTGTGCGTCGTGGGTTGTTCGTGGTTTCCACTTCATGCGCTTCACTTGTCCTGCGGATGTAGTGTAGGCTGTCCGTGAGGGCAGTTTTGTTCATTGCCTGTGTTGTGATGTCCGATGCCGCGGTCCGTTGGGGCCCTTGGTGCAGTCCGTGAGGACAGCATGTTAATTGTTTGTGGCTTGTGTGTTTGTCACTGCTTGTGGCCAGGTTTTTCCTTGCCACCTGCGGTTATCGTCGTTGCTTATTTTTGTTTTGGGATACCACCCCGGACGTGCGTCAAACTGGAAGAGGCCTCGGTCTCGAGCCTGAGCGGAGGTTTTCCCTACCGCGGGTGTCAGGTGCCCCTGGATCTGTTGATCCAGCCTGAAAGTTGGTGTGGCCCCCTGGGGAGCTTCACGGGGGTTGTGGTTTCGCCCCTCACCAAGGGGGAGAGTGTGCCTTCTGCATGCTCTCCAATTGGTACAGTACTTCGGTGCTGGAGCGCTGGTGGGCGCTTTTCCGCCTGTGGCTCAGCCACTGTGAGGTAGGCCTATTGGCAGGAACTCACATAAAACTCTTCAAGATACATCAGTATTATTTGCGCCCATGCTCCGACGGAAGACAAAGATGAACAGACCACGGATATTTTTTACGATCACCTAGAAACTGCATATGAACGCTGCCCTAGCCATGATATCAAAATTCTGCTAGAAGATTTTAATGCAAAAATTGGAAGGGAAAATAGTTGTTGTCCCACCGTCGGAAAATTCAGCCTCCACGAAGAAACATCCGACAACGGCATGAGGTTGATCGACTTCGCGGCAGTTAGAAGCACCAGATTCAAGCCTCTCGATATATACAAGGCCACCTGGATTTCTCCTGATCAAACAACGAAAAATCAAATTGACCACGGTGTGATAGACGGAATGCATTCGTCCAGTGTTTTAGACGTTCGATTGGTACGCGGAGCGAATATCGATTCGGACCATTACCTTGTGGCAACCAAGGTACGCACCCGTCTTAATGTAGCAGCGAAGGTGCGATCTAATATAACACGGAAAGTTGACGTCGAAAAGCTGCAGACAGCGGAAGCCTACTCCGCTAAACTTACCCAACTGCTTTACGAATGTACCCCTTGTCCCGATAATAGTATAGAAGCACAATGGCAAAGAATTGCCCACCTCCTACAAACTGCAGCAAAAGCAACACTTGGGTACCAAAAACCACCATCAACAAACCCATGGTACGATCAGGAGTGTCGTAATGCTACTGAAAAGAAAAATGCAGCGTATAAGGCAACCCTGCAGACAGTAGCAACACGTAATGCGATGGAGAAATATCTGGAGTAAAGGAGAAACGTATTTTCAGCAAAAAGAAGAAAAACAAGAAAATCGAGATGTACGGGAGTCAGAATGAAGCCCGGAAATTTTACCAACGAGTAAAACACCAAACCGATGGCTTTGTAAGGCACATCATCCTGCAGAGATAGAGATGCAAACCCGGTGATAGATACAGACAGCGTGTTAAGGATCTGGAGGGAGCATTTTGAAAAGCTTTTGGTATCAAATAGTGTCGGTGAGGAAGATATCCCAGAACCAATAAGAGATGACAGTATAGAGTGTATACCACCTGGCCAAGATGAAGTCAGAATAGCAATCAATCGGTTGAAGAATAATAAAGCAGCAGGTGCCGATGGGTTACAAGCCGAACTATTCAAGACTGGTGGTCAAATGCTGGTAACGAGCATGCACCAGCAGATTAGTACAATTTGGTTAGAATAATGCATGCCCGATGATTGGAACCTCAGGATCCTGTGTCCCGTGCACAAAAAAGGAGACAAGACGATATGTGCCAACTATAGAGGAATAATTCTCCTTCCCATCGCACAGTCGTACTGTGTGAACGACTGAAGCCAATGGCCAATGACATTATTGGACCATACCATTGCGGCTTCAGGCCTGGCAAATCCACCATTGACCAGATGTTCACTCTGCGCCAATTCCAGGAAAAAATCAACAAAAACATATCGACACATTCTACATATTCGTCGACTATAAAGCCGCATTCGACAGCCTTATCCGTTCAGAGTTGTATAAAGCCATGTCTGCGTTTGGCATTCCTGCAAAATTAATACGGCTATGCAGGATAACATTAACTGGCACA